TGGTATATATATATATACACAATGGGATACTACTCAGCCAGAAAGGATGGGAGGAAGGAAGGAAGGAAGGAAGAAAGAAAGAAAAAGAAATCTTGCCATTTGCAATGACATGGATGGAACTAGAGGGTATTGTGCTAAGTGAAATAAGTCAGAAAAAGACAATTATCATATGATCTCACTCATGTGGAATTTAAGATACAAAACAGAAGATCATAGGGGAAGAGAGGAAAATATAAAACAAGATGAAATCAGAGAGGGAGAAAAACCATAAGAGACTCTTGATCATAGGAAACAAACTGAGGCTTTCTGGAGGAGAGTCGGGTGGGGGGTTGGGGTAACTGGGTGATGGACATTAAGGAGGGCACATGATGTAATGAGCACTGGGTATTATATAAGACTGATAAATAACTGACCTCTACCTCTGAAACTAATAATACATTATATGTTAATTGAATTTAAATTTAAAAAAATAAATAAATTAAAAAGGAAAGGACGTTAGACACTATTCAGTTGGGTAGGAAGACCCCACATTTTTAATGCTGCCAATTTAAACCAAATTTATTTTTTTTCCTCCAGAAATGTTCCATTAACTGAGTGTAAAAGTGGAGAAAATGAATTGCTGGTTTGATTTAGAATGGGAATTTTTCTGGTGTCTCTTTTTTTTAAATTCTGGAGCTCAATACTGAAGAAAATTTTGCTCACTATATTTTTTTAAAAAATAGAAATCTACAGAGTCAGAGAAAAGTAAACAATATGATAAAAAGAAGGGAGAAACCAAATGAATCCAATGAGAGAAGGTTAAAAAAAACCAGGACTTTTCCTGCATAAGAAAAGACTGTAACATTCTATTGATACTGCATATGAATGAAATTAGAAGTTTATGGGACACGGAGAGATGAACAATTTCAGATGAGCAGAAGTGATTGAGCAAAGGGCATTGTTACAATTAGGCCAGACATGATGGCATTTAAACTTTGAAGTAAAGAAATTTAAGTGTTCACGTGGACTTGTTATAAACCAGTTGCCACATTAAACACATAACATACAACATTTTGTTTAATTCTCTTATTATTTTTCAGTAGACAGTAAGGAAATTTAAAGAGATTCTACCTCTCAGATCATATAGTTACAGTGCAGCACAGAAAACCTGAACCTACAGCTGTATGATTAGAAAGCTTGTTCTCTTTCCCCTATAAAAAACTTTCTTCCTGTTTCTTTGGCATTGATAGCAAGAAAAACATATCTTTGCATCCATCTGTCTTTCTGTATCTCTGTATTCCTAAGCCTAATCTGATTGTCTATGTCAGTGGTTGGCAAACTATGGCCCTTTTTTGAACAATCTGCAAGCTAGGAATGGCTTTTATGAAAACGCCTAAAAAAAATCAAAAGAACAATAATATGGCACACAAAAGCATATATGAAATTCAAACATCATTGTCTACAAATAAATTGTTGTTGAAGCAGAGCCCAGTCATTTGAACGTTGTCCGTGAACACAAAGGCAGACTTCAGTAGTTGCAAGAGACCATATGGTCCGAAAAGCCTGAAAGATTTACTATCTGGCTCATCAGAGAAAAAGTTTGCTGATCCCTGCTTCATCATCTGGTTTTTGTCCCTGGTGTTTATACTTTACTGAAAGAAGAAGTCCAGAACGGACATGTCGGTCATAGATGTTTTCCCAGAAAACTGTTCCCAGTTACCCTCATTATATGACCCAGTCTATTTCTTTATTTTGCAATTAGTCACCTATTTTACCTGTGTACTTATTGTCTACTTTCCCCGGTAGCATATGAACTTTGGGGACAGAGAAGTTTTCTAATCTCTTAGCTCTTGATATAGGGTACTCCCTTTACTCTTAATATAGAGTAAGCTTCCCAAATCATTTGCAGAGTAAGTGCATAAATACAGTGATAAAGTACCAGCCCTTGAACTGATGCTTCGTTTCTGTGCTAGGCTCTCCTGGGGTTTGATGTATGCTGGCTTCATCTTTATTGTGGCTACTTTGATGGCTCTTATTGTAAAATCTGCCCAAGTTGTCGTCCTGACTGGCTTTGTGGTGGTCTTCACCCTCTTTCTCCTCTATGGCCTGTCTTTGGTGAGTTGATAAATTTAATCTCTCTCTCTCTCAGAGAAACCAGTCATTTCTCACCAATTCTGGTCACACCTCTTCTGTTTCTGTTTGCAGTATATGAGTATTTGCATGAGACAGTATCTGGGGGGTGGGGGTGGAGGATTGGATGTTATATATTTTTATATTATGAAATTCTTTTTATTATGCTACTGATGATTCTCAGAGAATTATATACTACCTGAAGTTTTTCTCTCCTCTCAGATAACTTTAGCTTTCCTGATGAGCGTGTTGATAAAGAAACCTTTCCTTACTGGATTGGTTGTCTTTCTCCTTACTGTCTTTTGGGGGAGTCTGGGATTCACTGCATTGTACAGACATCTTCCTGCATTTTTGGAATGGACCCTATGTCTTCTTAGCCCTTTTGCTTTCACTGCTGGAATGGCTGAGGTAAGAGTTAATATAACTATTTCATTTTTTACAGAACATTAAAAAATTCTCTCTGAGGAATTCATGCTCTATGTTCTAAGCATCAAAATCCTCATCCGCTTTTGTAAAGATACACATCCAAGGTATCGGGGAGGTTTTCATTTTTCTCTCTCAGCGTAACTGGCTTTATTTTAAGTCATTAATATAGGTTGATACTCTATTATCGATGTGGGTCAGCTTTTATTTTCAATGGGTTGTCCCAATGAACAATTAACTAATTTAGTGCACAGGAAACATGACCCTTAATATTATCGCAAGTATTTGAAAACCAGGAATTCAATGGAAATAAATTTTTCTTTTTAATTGGCCAGTTGTACATGAAACTGAACCTCTTCTCAGAAAATTTAATTCTAGGTGTGACATCGTAACTGTAAAATGCTACATGAAAGGTTGCGTTATGTATAAACTCATTGCATCTCACTATAATAAGAAATTATTCTTGTGACCACTGAAGTACTTTCAGCTTTTCATGTTTTTACTTTCAGATAGTATCCCCTTTCTAGAATACCCCTTTGCCCCCCATCCTACACCTGATGAAATCCTTAGGCAACCCCTCCTTTGAGTTTTTACTTCCCAGAGGATTTGCCTACTTCTTCCCAGGGGTCTCTAAGTCCTTAGTACCTACCTCCACTAACTTCCCAAATTGCTTTGTAGCTAGATGGATTCACTGCTATGTCTTCCAATAGATTAGAGCTCTGTGAAGACAGGAACTGTGTTTTATTTATCTTTTTCAATCCCAGGGTTCAGCAGAAATAAGACAATAATAATTCCTAATACTCTGTTTATCTTTTTAAAATTCAATGTATGCATCTTTTTTTCCAGCTTATACATTTGGACTATGATGTGAATTCTAACATCCATTTGGATTCTTCAGACAACCCATACCTAATAATAGCTACTCTTTTCGTGTTGGTTTTTGATGCTCTTCTGTATTTGGCTTTGACATTATATTTTGACAAAATTTTGCCCAGTAAGTAGTAACCTAATTGTCATTCAATGCAATTTCATTCAGTGCATTTCTATAAAATAACTGTCTACAACATATCGGGTATAAATTATCAAGCATTTTTTTTCCAAAATTTCTAAAATGAGCCCAATGGTATTCTGCACTTTGTTTATAGAATCGCTTTCTAAGATCTTGTTCTACCACAATACTTTAAATTGTTTCTTTTTAAAAAGAGATGCTTGCAAGAGATGAAGGATAATTATACTATTAGTGCTTATATTAGTGCTAGATGAAGAAAGCTAGTGCTTGGGACTGGATCTTAAGGGTGTCTAAGTACTTCCCAAAGCAGTTGCCTTGACAAGCTGTCCTGAGGTCACTAATCCTTAAAGTGGTGACTGATGCAATGTTCAATTGCCTCCTGTTTGTGTAGCTGAATACGGACATCGATGTTCTCCTTGGTTTTTCCTAAAATCCTCTTTTTGGTTTCAACACCAAAGGGCTGGTCATTTGGCCCTTGAGAATGAAATAGATTCAGATTCTTCATCCAACGACTCTTTTGAACCAGTGTCTCCAGAATTCCACGGGAAAGAAGCCATCAGGTAATAAATAAATTATACAAAAGTGCAAAGGGAGAACAGGTCAGGGACCAGAGGTCTATCTGGCAAAATACAGGTGTGACAAAGATTTCCTGGGTGCCTCTTTGTACCCACCTACATCCAGGCCATCCCACTCGTGAAATGCCACCATTGTTGTTAAAAACACTTTACTTTCCCACATTGTCAGCATTTATATTTACGAATATCTTATTGCAGAACAACAAACATCAAGGAATAAATAATCTTCATATTTCCGTTTCTCTCATTTTCTTTTTGCTCTCTTCTTGGTGCTGTTCTCTCTCTTTCTGTGACTGCTGTCTTTATGACAGACACTGTCATTGCATCCCTTGTCTGTCTTCTCCTTTTCTCTGTGATTTACCCTGTCTCCCACCTCTTTGCTTCCCGATGAAGAATAGGAGAGGGAAGAGGCAGGTGATGCAGAAAAGGGGAGATAGGCATCCAGAGAGATGGGAAGAAAACCTAAGTTAGGGTACTCATGCCGTGCATATCTTCCCTCTGAGATGATAGATGTGTTTTATTCAATGCTGATTGCTTTGTTTCCAAACAACTAGAAATCCCTAACTTCCCTGGGTCTTTGCTCAACCTTTGTTCATCATTCAATTTGCCATTGTCTCCTCAGGAAAGCCTTTCCCATCACCTGGGCCCGCATGAGGGAAAGAGCCCCCAGAATTTTCTCACAACCCCAAAGACTTGATTTCTCAATCTTCTGTCTACTTCCACAATGTCCTTAAAACATTTTCCTTTTTTTTTTCAGAATAAGAAATCTTAGGAAAGAATATGGAAAAGGAAATCATGAAAAAGTAGAAGCCTTGAAAGGTAATGAGCTAACATATTTACACGGCTGTTTGATTTGGTGACTACGCCTCATTGTTGCACTGTCTTTGTGGGGATAAAGAACAGATATATTCCAGACACCACAATTTTCCTTCAACACATTGCGTTTCCTCCTGAGTGAATGTAAAACCATAGAACAATTTTAGAAAGTCAGGGTGTGCCATCGATACCTTACAGGTTTGAAAGATGTATGGCTGCATCATGAAGTTCTTTATTTTCAACTCGTCACACTCCCTAATCCTAATAAACGATCTTTATTATAGTCAACCTATTTTTAATGACAAAACTGCCCTTATCCAAAAAATTGTTAATTACATAATAATATATCATGACAATGCTATAGCTTTAAAATGTGCATCATAGGAGATACAATGTTAAATGGAAGAATTTGGGGATGGATTTTATTTTGAATATTGCTAGCCAAATACACATGCTATAAGAAATTATAAAAATTTTGGAGAATGTGGGGCACCTGAGTGGCTCAGTTGGTGAAGTGTCAGACTCTTGATTTCGGCTCAGGTCATGAACTCAGGGTCCTAAGATCGAGCCCCACGTTGGGCTCCACATGCTGCATGGAGTCTGCTTGAGATTCTCTCTCTTCCTCTCCCTCTGCCCCTCCCCCTGCTGTGCTCTCACTCTCTAAATAAAAAAATAAAATCTTAAAAAAAATTTTTTTTTTGGAGAATGTAAAGTTAACATGTAGGCTCTGAGTGGGATTTCTTTTTGTAATAATGCCAGGTCTGGTATTTGACATATATGAAGGCCAGATCACTGCCCTCCTTGGTCACAGTGGAGCTGGGAAAACGACCCTGTTAAACATGCTCAGTGGACTGTCCGAACCAACATCAGGTGAGAAGATAATTACAGGCAAGAACATGGACAAATAAATTAACTCCACATTTTATTAATTAGTTTTATTGGTTAATTTCAGTACTTAGTAGCTTCATTAACTACTAGTCACCCTCAGGTACTTAAGAGACAAGTTTTACAAGTTTCTTCAAGTTATTCTTTTAATAGATGTATGTTCTGTTTATTTAGGAAAATCTTTGTGGTTTAAATATTTCAAGATAAGTAGCTTTATGAATAGTCACTCCAACTGGTTCAGATAAATTGTGAACATTACATTTTTAGTCAATAGTGTATTCCTTATAGATCCAGTATGCTTAAAAGACTCTAGTGTTTGGGGGCACCTGGGTGGCTCAGTTGTTAAGCGTCTGCCTTTGGCTCAGGTCATGATCCCAGGGTCCTGGGATCGAGCCCTGCATCAGGCTCCCTGCTCCGAGGGAAGCCTGCTTCTCCCTCTCCCAATCCCTCTGCTTGTGTTCCCTCTCTTGCTGTCTCTCTCTCTGTCAAAAAAATAAATAAAATCTTTAAAAAAAAAAAAAAGACTCTAGTGTTTGACACCCATTGTTTTTCACTTTAAAACATCTTAAATGAACCATGGCATGTTATCCTGTTGCTAACTGTCAATCTTTCTACTTCTAGGTTCGGTCACAATCTATAATCACACCCTTTCGGAAATGACTGACTCCAAAACCGTTAGCAAGCTCACTGGAGTCTGTCCACAATCCAATGTGCAATTTGGCTTCCTCACTGTGAAAGAAAATCTCAGGCTCTTCGCTAAAATAAAAGGGATTCAGCCACATGAAGTGGAACAAGAGGTAGAGGAACATATTAGATGTCACACAGCCATGAACATGAAATTGTTTATCTAGAAAGTTCTAAATGTATTTATGTTATTTCTACATGGTGCATCATCAAAAGGGCAAAAAGGCCCTTGGCAACAAACAGCAAAATGATTGTGCTTTTAAAACAAACATGCTGGGTTTTGGACTAAACATCCTTTTCTCTTCTCTTCTCTTCTTTTCTCTTCTCTTCTCTTCTCTTCTCTTCTCTTCTCTTCTCTTCTCTTCTCTTCTCTCCTCTCCTCTCCTCTCCTCTCCTCTTCTCTCCTCTCCTCTCCTCTTCTTTTCTTTCCTTTTTGGTTAGATGCAACAAGTTTTAAGGGACTTGGAGATGGAAAATATTCAAGATATTCTTGCTCAAAATTTAAGCGGTGGACAAAAAAGGAAACTAACTTTTGGGATTGCCATTTTAGGAGACCCTCAGGTAAGTTGAGCCCTAATTATTGGTGAATGAGCTTGAGGACTGTGGAACTAGTGTATTCCATCCAACTGAATTTGCAAATGGTAAATATAAAAGAATTGTTCAAGTGAAAAATTAAGTAGTAAGATATTTCTCCCAAGCACTTTTACACATATATTGTTTTTTTAAAAAAAATTTACCTGAAAGTGGAAAATGATTTTATGTTTCCCTACTGTGCAGGTTTTGCTATTGGACGAACCAACTGCTGGATCAGATCCTCTTTCAAGGCACTGTGTATGGAACCTCCTAAAAGAGAGGAAATCCGATAGAGTCATTCTCTTCAGTACCCAGTTCATGGATGAGGCTGACATCCTGGCTGGTGAATTTTTTTTTTTTTTTTTTTTTAGATTCCACATATAAGTGAGATCATACAGTATTTGTCTTTCTCTTTCTCTGATTTATCTCAGCCTAATGCCTTCAAGTTCCATCCATGTGCTTTCATGGTGGTTCTCGGTTTTCTCTCATGTGTCTTAGTGAGAAATTAGGGACATGAGTGAAATATGTGTAGATAAGTTCCAACACACCTGCTATGGGTGTATGTGTGACTGTCATGAAGACAGGAGATTCTTGCTGTCGTCCATTTGAATGTCTGCGTCTCCATGTACATTGTCCCACACATGTATTCTGATCCTATTGCAAAGCAACTCATTGGTTGTAAATATATAGCATACTCTCAAATATATACTATGTTTTATTCAGTAGGAATGTCAGTTGGCTTGAAACAGATCCTCCCATTGTATGATAATTTTTCTCAACATACTAGAGAATAAACTAACATATCATTTAGGTTATTGGATAACAAAGAAATTGGCTTACGTACGACCAGAATTAGAATGCAAATATTTTAGTGGGTCATGCTCCTAAAATGCATTATTTGGTAATGGATTTGTTCTTTTATAAACAGTGAGAGAATAACCTCTTGATACAATGCATTGTTTTTCTTTTCTGCTTAGATAGGAAGGTGTTTATATCCAATGGGAGGCTGAAGTGTGCGGGCTCTTCTCTATTCCTGAAGAAGAAATGGGGCATCGGCTACCATTTAAGGTACAACCTGTGTTGTTGGAGACATATTAGAACATGTTGCAGACAAGAGATCATATTAGTATGTTAAAGTAGGCTACAAAATTATTAAGATCCTTTCAAGAGTGCTGTGTTAGAACAACTGATCTCTTTCTTAGCTAGAATGAAGGGCAGGTGGGATTGTAGACATGGCGACTACAAGGATGATTAAGCTAAGTTTAAACAACATTTTTGGAAAATATTTTCACAACACATTGTTTGCAAAGAGAAATTTAATGACATTCCAACCCTCTCTCAACATTTTTCCAATGCTTCTTTTTGTTCATTGTGACAATTTCAAGTCTCCTCTCTGTTCTCCCTGACTTCATCTTCTCCCTCATTCTTTTCTATCTTCTTCTCTTCCTGATAGTAATTAATATCATTATTAATTATTATTATTATTATCATTAAGTAATGTCTATCACTTATTCCATATTGGCTATGCTCTAGGTTCTTGCTAAGATATTTACATATGGAATACTCATATAATCATATTTAATCCTTCAGATAACTGTAAGAAGATGGTATTGTTAGCCTCTGACATGTCAGGGAGTTTTAGTAATATACCCAATCTCACATTACTTAAAGTGGTAGAATCTCTGGGCCAAGATTACAGGTGTGATATGAATCTCTCCCTATACTTCCTGCTAAAATATTAGTGTTTCTTTTTTTTTTAAGATTTTATTTATTTATTTGAGAGAGAGAATAAGAGAGAGAGAGCATGAGGGGGGGAGGGTCAGAGGGAGAAGCAGACTCCCTGCTGAGCAGGAAGCCCGATGCGGGACTTGATCCTGGGACTCCAGGATCATGACCTAGCTGAAGGCGGTCGCTTAACCAGCTGAGCCACCCAGGGGCCCAGTATTAGTATTTCTTAAAAAATAATTTAAGGCAGTTTATCCTCAGAGGTTAAATGTATTATGTACATTATTTACTGAAGGTTTAATCTGATCAAATCTACCATTCCATCATGATTGCTTGGTACAGTCTAATTGAATCAATACCTTCCAACTAAAATGGACCCCTCACTGTTTTCTAAGTATGTTCCGTGATTTAGTTGTCTTCTCCCTGCTCAAGGGAGGATGTCTGTTTGACATGTCCTCCTCCAACCCATTTTAGCCAAGTTCAAGTCTTATCCATTCTTGAAAGTCTTTTTTGAATATTTTCTCCTTAATAAGCATCCTCTTTTCTGGAACCTGGGCAGCACTATTTTGAACTGTTGCCTCAGTCAACTTAATTAACTGGTCTTTGATCCTCAGTGATTTCATTTATATAATAGTGGTAATAATATCCACATTGCTTAATTGACTTAACTTCCCTCTTCCTCACTTCTTCTATAATATGCTGCTTTATTTGACTGCTATGTTCCAAGCTCCTCCAGGGAAAGTTCTGTATTCTTTCTGTTTGGGATCCTGGATCGTGTATTGCATTGGGCCTTGTAAACACAGAATAGTTTTACCTAAAATTGATTTTTTAGGTTTGTATCATCAAAGTGATGTCCTCATCATTTGATAGCCCCAGAAAATTTCAGTGGATGTGACTAATAATGGTGCTTCTAAAATCTGATGATTTCATGAAGAACTTTACATGTTCTCACCAAGAAGACAGATCAGCTTTGATTCGAATAAATTTTGGACAATAAAAATGATAAAACCAGCTAACATATATTGAAGGTTTACTTGGTGCAAGGCTCTGTGTGATCACATGCATACTTTATATTAATCTGTCTTTTGAAATTCTTTGAGAACTGAGTATAAGAACACTGATTGGAATTCTGATGGAAATTTGATACTGGAAGACCTTAAGCCTGAGTTCTGGAATGTGGATCAGTGGGACATTAGGACCATGTTCTTAATGACTCTATCAAGTTACCCCTGTGTCTGTGTTCACCATGTTCAAGTCTTAGTTTTTGCAAAACCCATACTTTACTGCAAAGGGGAAATTCAAAGCTGAGCTTTTGGATAGATGGAGACAAAATCAGGCATTTCCTCCACCTCACTTCAGCCAACATCTAGCTGAATATATCTTTCCTCCAAATAATAATCCTTGAGTTATTATCCCTTATACTAGTATCTCTAGATTATCTAGTTTGGACTATATTAATGTGGACTATCTTTGGACAGTTTATTTTTAAGTCTTGCTTCTTCCATTAGATTATATATATATATATATATATATATGTATATATATATATAGTCTATATATATATATATAGTCTCATAAATATTAATGAAGTGACAAACATACTACAATTGTTTGTAGAGATGGTATTGGATAAAAATAGCATTAACATGCTCTTTTTAAATGTCAGTTTGCATCTGAATGAAATGTGTGATCCAGACAATATAACATCACTTGTTAAACAGCACATCCCTGATGCCAAATTAACAGCACAAAGTGAAGAAAAGCTCATATATATTTTGCCTTTGGAGAGGACAAACAAATTTCCAGGTAACAGAACGTAGAGACCACAGAATGATTTATAATGATGTTACTAATGATAACAGTGGCCTTAAGAATGATGGATGACATTTTTATTCTTGCTAAGTGCATGGCACTGTGCATAATCCTTTAATATTCCCCAAAGTTACTGCTAATATTAGCCCCTGATATTATCCCCAGATCACTTATGAGGAAACTGAGGCAAAAGATGCTAAATATGCTTCAAGTGGCAATCTGGGCAGTTAAGAGGTACAGGACCACATCAAGCTAAAATTAAGAATATTTGGGACATTTGTTTCAGGAATGAATGAGAGAACCTGGTCCGGCAAGGAAGGGTCTGTGAAAACAGCATAGAGTGTTAAATGGGAGCGAAGGGAATGGTACGCTGCCACATGTAGATGGTTTTATTATAAACACCGTGACATAATGTTATAATCTCAGTAACCGAATAGTAATTATGATCAATTCTAAACTCACAGCTTTGCCGTAAATACGGAAGCCTGGAGGCTCATTGCCATTCCCACTTTTCTACCTAGTCTCCCAATATGATTTCATTTGCCAAGAGTTTTGAGGTAGACTTCATTAAAAAAAAAAAAAAAAGTATAACCATAGAATGTGTTTATTTTGAGTTCAAGGAATTTGCCAGCTTTTAATGGAGGATAATGGCTCCGGGGCTGCCTGCTTGAATCAATAAGCCTGCCATGATCATGGTTCATAAAGAAATATAGTACTAGACAGTAGGGTACGGTGATTGAAAGCTGGGATACTAGAGCCAGACTGGGTATGTTCAAATCCCAGCAGAGCTGTCAGGAGCTCCATTATTCTGGACAGGTTATATTACCTTTCTGTACTTCAATTTCCCTGTTTGTAACAAGGGAATAATGAGAGTACTAACTTTATAGGATTCTCATGAGGATTAAATTATTTAATATATTTAAATATATTCTTAAAATATTAAAAATAAGCACAGCACCTGGAATCATACCTGACATAGAAGCTATGGTTATTTCTCCAAGTCTAAGACAGCCTCAACTCTAGGATGTGTTACCAAGAAAGAAACAGACAATGACATACCAGCATTTGTGATACATTCTCATTTCAAATATGGTAAAAGATGATGAAATGTATTATCTTAGAATCAGTGAGATCACAGCAGTCTTAGATGTGTATACCATGTCTTTGATATACGTAACCTATGGAAGCAGAAACCTTTATGAAACCCACAAAGCAAAGTGTTACCTGATTATTTGTTAAATGCATTTCAAAGGGGAATGCACAATTTAAAGAAAGACTGAAAAAGAACCAACACTTAGGAATCATGACTACATCTGTATTTTTATTTATCTAACATACCCTTAAGATAGATACCTTTAATTTCTCCCAATATTTGAATTAGTTTATCCTTTATTCTACTTCACATTTTCCTGAACTTCCCCCAAACTATTCCCAGTATCTTAAAAAAAAAAAAAAACCTGCCAAATGACCTACTAATCCCTATAAAGACCTACCTTCTTTTTAAAATTTTTTTTGCAGCACGATGTCCCTTTTTTAATTTAAATTCAATTAATTAACATATAGTGTATAATTAGTTTCAGAGGTAGAGTTCAGTGATTCATCAGTTGCATATAACACCTAGTGCTCATTCTATCATGTGCCCTCCTTAATGCCCATCACCCAGTTACCCCATCCCCCTACCCCCAGTCCCCTCCAGCAACCCTCAGTGTGTTTCCTATAGTTAAGAGTCTCTTTTTTT